GGCATACTAGAAACTTCTCCATATAAATATCAAATGAGGACAAAAAAGTTCTTATCTTTATGTCATAACTAGTCATCTCATCAACATCAATTGGTAGTCTCTTATGAGTAGAAGGACTGATAACCACAAATGCACAATTATAAAGGATCGTCAAAAGTAGTTAACAAATCATACTACAACCTCGAGCAAGTATAAAGGACAAAATTACACGGCATAGATGCACAGGCAGAGGAGGCAATTTGGAACAACATTCTGATTCTTCTTAAGTATATACATAAGTTTCACTTTGCAGATTTGTACTAATATACTATACACACTTTTTGTTAGCTGTTTTTTTAAATTTACATTAGTATTCTTTTCTCTAGTGTTCTTTCATTGCTGCAAAATTGTTTTGATGGTAACAACAGTGAGTAGTACCATTAATAACAACAAATAAACAAAATAGGATATCTCATCTTATCCCATCAAATGTGAGATTATTTTATCCCATCTCTCATGTGGTATAAATGAGCCCTGGGATTATAATACTACTTTGTGGAAAGATAAATACAAACCCCCAAAAGCTGTTGATTGAAAACAAGAAATGATAATTGTTTGGAATATATAAAATTAATCCTGCTAGTAATCTTCTCAATCAACTGGTAACATTCCAACTTGCTCCTTTTCTTAGGGGGCAAAGCAATGGAAAACCAAGATATCTTAACCTTGTGAGAAGCCTGTCTTAGCCAACAATACTTATATACATGCTCATCATTAGTGTTTCTCTCATGCTCCAAATTAAAACCTTAACATGCATTTCTTCATTATATCTGGGCTAACTAGTGTTTCAATCACAAAAGAAACTAGTTACTTCCTCTATTTCAATATATATGTGGCATTTTTTTTCTTTTTAGTTCGTTCAAACAAAAATATTGTATATTTTTATATTTAGTAACAATTTAATTAAATTGGGCCGAGTCTCTATCCAATCACCTTTCTATTGTTCCACTAAATTGAGTATTGAAATATTCTAATTTTTTTATGTATTATTACTAAATAGTAGATGGTGAATCTATTCGATTCCAAACAAATCATATCAAGGATTAGATACGATCAGTGCATGTATAGTGACACTAAAAGTGTGAAGGCTCTAGAGTGTATTTTTAACTCAATTGACAATTTGCTTCCATTAAAGTGTTCCTACTTTTTGGCCCCGCCTCCATATTCTACCCTACTAATCAAGGCATTTACAATAATGATCACAATGCAATAGAAGTGATGATTATTGGTAATTACACATAAACACACAATATTAAATGACTACTAATTGGCTTGCCGACAGCAAGAGCGTCTTTAGGTTTGACCAAACAATTGTTTGCTAACAGTTAGCCAGCAGTCAACATTTTCTGTCGTCCCCACCCCACATGGACGCATATATTTACGTATACACTTTGTTGGTTGGGTGAATGGTTTAATTTCTCGCGTGGGAGCTTTGAGATCGATTCTCCTCACCAGTAGTCTCTTCTGTTAGAGCTCGTCGCACCGGACGTGCCTAATGCGGTTTACATCTCCCGTATGATTTGCGAGTTATTGCAAAGTGAGTAGATTACTCAATGCGCACCCGAAGAGTAGCGGCTGCGAATTTTCCTAGGAATTTTTCAACAAAAAAACTATGTGGTGGAGCTACCTTTTATANCATCATAAAACTGTATTAATTACTGCCACCCGGATCTGAAGTCACAATTCACGTGCATTCTAGACTTTACTAAAAGTAATAGTCTGAAAGAAATACAACTATTTGAATGAAAGAAACTAGTAGGACATAAAATATAGACGGGGACTTCGAGGTCTATGAACACCGACAGATCTACCTTGAGTCTTCGGACAGCAGACCAGTAGCAAATCTCGATCAACCTGAGTNGATCAACCTGAGCCGGTATCAAAATCTGCACAAAAAGTGCAGAGTGCGGCATCAGTACAACCGACCCCATGTACTGGTAAGTGTCGAGCCTAACCTCAGCAAAGTAGTGACGAGGCTAGGACAAGACTCCCACATATAACCTGAACAGTATAATTATGCTAGTGGCAACAACAGTAAGTAAAGCAATAATGCAGAAATAATGGGAAGGGGACATACAGTGGGGGAATACAACATAATCCTCAAATTCCTGAATCCGTTACAAGTTAGAACTAATTAAACTTGGCTACGTACAAGACATTTTGCTTAGAACCTTAGCATTGTGCTTCGGTTTGTTTTCTGTTCTTTCAGCGTTAGGGTTGTCTGTCTGCCTGCCTGCTTGTTTGGGGCTACAATTTAAATACTCAAAAAAACACTCATGTGAAGAATGTATATTTCTTTGTCTAAACGTCATCTTATATTATAGCTTGAGAAATTTTATCATTTAATTCTTCTTTTTTCTCTTACATAGTTTAGGATATATAATAAGAAAGACTAACTAGACAACAGTAATTAGGAGGTAATTACTAGAATTCAAAAACATGCATTAAATCGTTTAGACTGTTTCTTTGTGAAGTCATTTGCTTACTTTTGTCTTGCTTTGGGCAACAACAACGACACAGTGAAATCCCACTTTAGGGAGGGTAATGTGTATGCAGACCTTACTCTTATTCCGAGAGGATTGAGAGGTTGTTTCCGATAGACTCTCGACTTTGTCTTGCTTCAGGAAATGCTTTTTAAATTAATTACAATCTCGAATTTAATTTACTTACAAAAGCAGTGACTTGTGCAAGGACCTACATTTGCCAAAATGTTCCATCCCTGCAGGCTGCAGTGGAGTTGTATGTATATGCTTTTATTTTCAAACCGTGACTAAACAACTAGTCACGAAGAGCATTAATGCTTTACTAAAAGAAATTATAAACAATATATATCTAATTCTATTTATACTTATTTTTAGCACATTAATTAATATAGTAATTAAGTTCTAATAAACGCGCGAACTCGCCCCTTGGCCCTTGCTACTCCGACAAAAGAGAAAGGAACAAGAAAAGAAAATCCAAAGTCACGTATAGTGTTGTGTGGCTGTGGTTGGAAACCTCTACTTTAAGTTGGGATATTTTTCTTTTTGTGCGCTGAGCTCTGCCACAGATTTAAGAAAATGTGCTTTTATTCTTTTTCTTTATGTACTTATAAGCTTTTCCTCATCAACTATTACGAAGCATGTTAAAAGGCTTTTGCGATCTATTACTCCCGTAATCTATTACTACCTTCGATCCAATTTAATTGAATTTTTAACTTTTTTTTTTGTGTTCCATGATTTTTTCAGATATCAAACAAGGATTAACTTTTTTTTGAAAGTTGCTCTTGGAGTAAAGAACCGAGAAGTATTTGTTATATTTTTAATAAAAAATTAAGATTAATATAGTCAATTTTATTGTTAATTAATGCTAAAAGATGAATTACTTAATATGTGTGAATATGATCAAAAAATCAATTAAAGTAAACCAGATGAGTAAGTTAATTAGTACGCAATAATGATCACTAATTAGTATTGTGATCAACACAGTATCACAATTCACATCCATATAAATTAGTGGTGGCAAAATGGATAAAAAAATAGTTATCCACCCATATTACCCCCTAAATGAGTTGGATAATAAGCATTTCAAAAATAGGTTAAAAATTCATATTATCCACTTAAAAAAAAGGATAGCCAATGGAAATCAATGAGTTTAACTATTGCATTTGCAAAGACTCAAATTAGGGTTTCCTCAAGTTTGGGGACTAGAAATTCTCCCAAAAATGATCATATTCAAGATATGAATATCCATATTATCGTCAGTTAATTCATTTTTTATCCGTATTAAATATAGATCTGATCGAATAAATTATCCATTTTGATGTTACTCATTTTTTGACCCACCCGTATCTGACCCAACCCGCTTGTTTGTCACCCCTATTGTAAATTATAATTCTAGGGAATTTGACATAAATTTTCATGAAAAGGGATGTGATCATGTCCATTGGACTTTTAGGTGCATATCTAATCCTCTTTAAGAAAGTAGGGCATCTTGATTGATGAAGCCATTGTTATTTTTTGTTAGAAAGAAAACAGTGTGACAGTTCACTTAGGAAGCAACACGTCAGAGGGTACCATTTATGACAAGTCAATCAATACTCGAGATGCCCCATTCATTTGCATTTGTCCACTTGTAAAAGCTATGCTATATTGACGTTAACTCTCTAGACCTTGATTGTCAATGTGTAACACTCTCATGTCTCTGACATTGTAACATCCAAATCATTGATAGATGCATCTCTATTGAGATTTTTTCTACTAGCACCTAATAGCTTGTTTAGCGACCTCCTAAACTTATTTTGAAAAGTATTTTTTAAAATATAATTTAAAAATAATATTTTTGACAAAAAATAATTTATATTTGACTAATAAATTTAAAAAACACTTTTAAATAACAATTATTATCTGGCCAAACTTTGAAAAGGTGTTTCTAATGTATTTGTTTCAAAAGTACTTTTAGGAAGAAACTACATTTTTCTGTTTCTCAAAAACTGTTTTTGTTTCTCAAAAACTGTTTCTGCTTCTATTCAAAAGTAATTTTTTTTCTTCTAAAAGTTTAGTCAAACACCTTAAACTTGAAATAAATAATATTTTTGGCCATAAAATAGCACTTTTGGCAAAAGAAGCTTGGCCAAACAGTCTATAAGACAAATAGATACAATGAGACAAAGATATTACGGCTAAATACTATTCCCTTTGTTTCAATTTATGTGAACCAAATTGATTAGATATGGTATTTAAAAAAAAGAATTTTTTTGTATTAAATATATCATAACATTTGTGTGGTTAAAGACTTTTGAAACTTGTCGTCTTAAATATGTTATAATATTTATGTGGTTATAAAAATTTCTCATTAAAGTAAAATAGAAAGTACTAAATTAATTTCAAATTTAGAAAGGATTTATTCTTTTTGAAACAGATTAGCTTATTTGATAGATATAATTTATTTTAATATATACGACATTTTAGAATAATATATATATGACGGTTGGAGAGCTCACTCTGAATGTCATTAGCGCGTACGCACCCCAAATGGGTTTAGACGAGGAGGTTAAGAGGTGTTTCTGGGAGGATCTAGACGAGGTTGTGCGTTGTATTCCTCCTTATGAGAAGCTGTTTATAGGAGGGGAATTTAACGGGCATATTGGGACGAATGCTGGAGGCTATGATGAGGTTCATGGTGGTTTCGGCTTTGGAGCTAGGAACGGAGGAGGTGCTGCTTTGTTAGATTTCGCTAAGGCTTTTGAGTTGGTGATAGCGAACTCTAGTTTTTCTAAGAGGGATGAATATTTGGTTACTTTCCAAAGTATGGTGGCTAAGACTCAGATTGATTATCTCCTCCTCAGGATGGGTGATAAAGTTCTACGCAAGGATTGCAAAGTTATGCGGAGTGAGTCCCTCGCGACACAACATAGGCTCTTGGTGATGGACGTCGGCATCATAATAAAGAAGAAGAAGCGGGTTATCTAGAGTCGTCCGAGAATCAGGTGGGGAGCTTTGTCTAAGGATAAAGCGTAGGAATTGGAGAGGAAGTTTATGGATATGAGGGCCTGGAGGAGTAGTGGGGACGCGAGTCGCATGTGGACAATGACGGCGAACTATATTAGGGAGGCCGCGAAGGAGGTGTTAGGGGTCTCGAAGGGTTACTCTGGGGGGCACAGAGGGGACTGGTGGTGGAATGAAGAGGTTCAAGGAAAAGTGAAGGTCAAGAAAGAGGCATACTTAAAGTTAGTATAGAGCTCAGAAGAGGAGGAGAGAAGAACGAACAAAGAAGGGTACAAGAAGGCTAGGAAGGAGGCAAAACTAGCGGTCACAGAGGCCAAGAATGCAACGTTTGGTCGCTTGTATGAAGAATTAGGGGACAAAGGCGGGGACAAGAAGTTATTTCGGCTGGCCAAGGTGAGAGAGAGAAAGGCGCGTGATCTGGATCAAGTGAGGTGCATAAAGTCGAGGATGGTAGAGTTTTAATGGACGAGGCTCAGATTAAGTAGAGATGGCAGACTTACTTTCACAAACTTATGAATGAGGAGGGGAATAAGGACATTGTGTTGGGTGAATTTGGAGCACTCCGAGAGTCATCGTGATTTTGAGTATTGTAGGCGTATTAAGGTCGAGAAGATCGTGGGGGCTATGCATAAGATGAGCAGGGGCAGAGCGACTGAGCCGAATGAAATTCCGATTGAGTTTTGGACGTATGTGGGTAGAGAGGGCGTAAAGTAGTTGACGGGATTATTTAACATTATTTTTAGGGCAAAAAAGATTCCAGAGGAATGAAAATGGAGTACGATGATTCTGTTGTACAAGAACAAATGTGATATCCAGAATTGCAAAAACTATAGGAGTATTAAGTTGCTTAGTCATACTATGAAAGTCTGAGAGAGGGTAGTGAAAGTGAGGGTGAGGAGGTCGGTGTCTATATCAGAGAGCCAATTCGGGTTCATGCCTGGCTGTTCAACTATGGAAGTTATTCATCTTATCAGGAGGTTGGTGGAACAGTACATGGATAGGAAGAAGGATTTACACATGGTATTTATTGACTTAGAGAAAGCGTACGACAAGGTCCCGAGAGAGGTTCTTTTGAGGTGTTTGGAGGCTAAAGGTGTTCTGGTAGCATACATTAGGGTGATTAAGGACATGCATGATGGAGCTAAGACTCATGTTAGGATAGTGGAAGGTGACTCGATACATTTTACGGTGGTTATGGGATTGCACCAAGGATCAACGCTCAGTCCTTTCCTGTTTGTCTTGGCGATGGACGCTCTGACGCACCATATTCAGGGAGAGGTGCCATGATGTATGCTGATGATATAGTCCTGATTGATGAGACGCGAGGCGGTGTCGGGGAGAGGCTGGAGGTTTGGAGACAGATCTTGTAGTTTAAAGGTTTCAAGTTGAGCAGGGCTAAGACAGAATACTTGGAGTGCAAGTTTAGTGACGTGACGGGGGAAGCAGACAGTGATGCGAGGCTTGATTTACAAGTCATCCCCAAGAAATGGAGTTTAAGTATCTTGAGTCTATTATCCAGGGGAACGGTGAGATTGACGAGGATGTCACACACCATATAGGGGAGGGATAGATGAAATAGAGGTTAGCATCTGGCGTCTTGCGTGACAAAAAGGTGCCACCAGAACTTAAAGGCAAGTTTTATAGAGCGGTGGTTAGACTGACTATGTTGTATGGGGCAGAATATTGGCCAGTCAAGAACTCTCATATCCAGAAGATGAAAGTAGCACAAATGAGGATGTTGAGGTGGATGTGCGGGCATACTAGGTTGGATAAGATTATGAATGAGGATATTCGGGCTAAGGTGGGTTTGGTGCCCATAGATGACAAAATGCGGGAAACGAGGCTTAGATGGTTCGGGCACGTGCGGAGGAGAAGCCTTGACGTCCCGGTTAGGAGGTGCGAGCGGTTGGCTTTGTCAGGTATGAGAAGAGGTAGAGGGCGGCCTAAGAAATATTGGGGAGAGGTGATCAGGCAGGACATGGCGCGACTCCAGCTCACCGAGGACATGACCTTAGATAGGATGGCTTGGAGGGTGAGCATTAGGGTCGTAGGTTAGTAGGTAGTTGAACGTCTTTCTTCCCTATTTAGGGTGTTAGGCTAGTTTGTAGTGTCTTGCTTTAGATTGTTAGTGGTACTTGTTGTGTTTGTATTGTTTTCTGCTCCGTTTGCCCAATACCTTTCCATTATTCTGATTATTGACAAGCTTTTTTCATTTATTTGTTTTGATTCTTAGGTTGCTGGCACTACCTTCTTGACGTATGCGGTTGTTATTCTTCCATTGCCTCTTTTTCATCTTCTTGTGCCGAGGGTCTTTCGGAAACAACCCCTCTACCCTCCGAGGTAGGGCTAAGGTCTGCGTACACACTACCCTTCCCAGACCCCACATGTGGAATTATACTAGGTTATTGTTGTTGTTGTTGTCGTTGTTGTTGACATTTTAGAATAATAAAAGGTGTATTTATTATAATTTTTATTCTTACTTTTATTGCTACAATAGTGAAGTCTTAATTGAGTGAGATGTTTAAAAAATAAAAATAATATTTTAGACAAATACTCTCATAATTGAAGTTATTAATTAAATATCTTTTTTTCAAAACTCAAAGAGTACAAAAGTTTTAAAAGACAGAAAATATGAACCGGGTGTAGTAATTAACTTAAGGAATAGTGAGCGCCAGAACTTTTTTTTTTTTTTTTTTTTTTTTTCTCAAAAAGCGCCTGGTAAAAACAACTATACTTGAAAAATGAAACACATATTAAGCACAAAAGAATAAGTATGTTTTAGTAAGGTTCTGATCGGAACCCTCCTTCATTGAGACAATAATACCGAAGAAAGGCATTCCTTCACTGCTTTTTTACTTTACCTAATGTTCCCTGCTAAAGTTAAATAAATTAATGTTTCTTACCTTTTTTATGCTTTTTTAAATAAAAAAACAAAAAACAAAGATGCTCTTTTCTTTTTAAATGCTTTCTAACTAATACCTTTTGTCAAAAATAATGCTACAGAGAATAGGATTCCTCGAGTTTGATCAAACTATGCTTGCAATATATAAAAACTAAGATAATTTCAAAGAAATTTGGGGCTGATATCCACGTGCCACCATACAGGTAGGAGTATCTAGTTCCATAAGTAGCATTTATTCTTTTTCATCGTGTAATTAACGGGGAAAAAATTTAATGTATTCTTGTGACCTATATCTAGCACAAACCTAAGAGGCGCACTATAATAAAGATGGTATCCACCAAATTAATAGTAAGAAGGTTAGAAGGAAGAAAGGAACAACAAAAATGGGTTGTTATTATTCGGGTGAAAATTATTTACATACCCAAAGTTTGCTTTGAAAATCAAACACATCATTCAATTTTGAGCAATAGTCATTCTCATCCTCATAATTAAAGTTGACTTTTTAAAATGACAATTTTACCCTCTACAATGTTTATCTCTCTTTTTTTGATACTTTTTGTTTTAATCTATGTTATAAACTTACCTATAAAAAATAACTATTATTTTGAACAAAAAGAGTGAGAAGTAATAATCAAGCATAATGACGTTCAATAATAAGAAAATAAAAAAAATAAAAAAAATTACAATAAATAATTTGCCCTTATCAAATATTTTATCAATAGCAATCAGAGTGAGAACTTCGTAAATTAATCAATGCATGAAATAAAAAAGGTGAAAATATAGGTAAATTTTATATCAAATTCCTAATAGCTATCTATTTATACTTGATATGATTTTTTTTACAATTTAGAAAAGCTTTTATTAATAACAATAAAAAACTCAAAAATCTATATACATAGTGAAGAATAAGAGAAAAAATAGAACTTAAAGTCTCACGGACATACACAAAAATACATTATATGCATACTTAATACACGTGATATTAAAATAATAATCATAAAAGTAGTAACAGATTTTATAATAAATTTATAATATGATTATCTATTTATAATGTCACGGACTAAAAAAATATCATATGTAATAAAAAAAAATCATTACATGTATAGAAAATGAAAAATATCAACGGTAAAATAGACCTTGACTATGGATCTGATTGATTCATAGCTATTACATTAAGGGGTGGCAGTTTGCTAGTATGAAGGTGCCACAATGTGCATGTTGGATGATTCAGAAGATTTTTGATGCAAGTGATACCATGCTGCAGCTCGACCAATGGAAAAATTTGATAAACTTGATTATACAGACTTATTTGTTGCTTCTAGGAGACCTCCCAAGAATATCATGGAAATGCCTAATGTTCTCCAATGAAGCTAGACTTAGAGCAAGATTTACTATGTGGCTTCACTTGCATGAAAGACTATTTACCGTCGATAAATAAGCAAAATAGGGGCTCAATGTGGAACTTAAGTGTAGCCTATGCCAAGAACACAATGAGACAAATAAGCATCTCTTTTCCAATATAGACTCTCAAGGAAGATATGGGATAGGGTTCTGTTATGGGAAAAGAAGAATGCACCATTTTCAACTACATAGAACCAATACCAACACTGGACTATTGAGAATGCCAAGGGTAAATGAGTAAAGATTGGATCGTCATTGCAAAAGAGATAGCCTTTATGTGTTGTGCTAGATCATCTGTTAAACTGGGAGCTATTTCCAGGCTTGTATGTTTTAAGTTTTTGTAAGTTGACAGATAGAAGTATAGATAGTTTTCTTGTCTTTAGATAGTTAGTTTGAGTTAACTAACTATGACTTTGTACAATTTATCTTGGGTGATTAATACAAGTTTAATTATCAAAAAAAAGAAAAATAGATATTGTGATACGATAGAAGGATGAGAATGACTATTGTTTAAAGTTGAGGGATGAGTTTAATTTTTAAAGTAAACTTGAGGGATGTAAATGATTTTTCACCCAATATTAATCCTATTATTTACTCGGCAAGTATTACTGAATTATTTTTCACTATCTTTTAAAGTTGAACAAAATAAGATTAACTCATTTTTTAAATCAAAACTTAGATATTTAGAAGATAAACGAAAAGTAACATAAACAACATTTTTATTTTTTCATATAACAAGGATGAAAGAATAAATTTAATATTGACCAAGTTTATCTAATTTAAATCTGAGAAGAGAAAAATGTGAGTATTTCTTACGCCCTTGTTATGGTTGGAATATTTATGTGAGTAATTACTCAACATTAAACCTAGGATGGCCGGTCAACAAAAGCAGTAAAATTCTATTAATTTTTCGAGAAGAATTAAATTCCAAAATTTTGTGACAGATGTAGTAGTTTCTTACCCCCTGCTATCGTTGGACCATTTTTATGAGCAATAAATCACATTAAATTTAGGAAGGCCAGTCAGCTAAAGGTGGTTTTCTTCATCGTCGTATTATTATTACTATTTTATTATTCCCTCCGGTCCACAATAAGTAATCAATTTATTTTTTTATTTTAGTCTAAAATAAGTATCCATTTATATAATGAAGAAAAAATTCAATATATTTTTCCAAAATTACCCTTATGTATGTATCTCTAAAAAGTCTTTTACTCCTCACATTAACTATGCTGGAACATTTAATTAAGGGTAGTTTAGTCACACTAACTATTTTTGTCTAGAATATTGTATTTCTTTAATGAGTATGACCAAAGCAAATTGATCACTTATTGTGGATCGGAGGGAGTAGCACGCAAAATATTAGATGAAGAAAATAACTACTTCTGATACTTTAATGAATTTAATTTTGCAGCAATTTAATTTGTGATAAATTGGAACATATTGCATAACTTTACCTCCCTCCGATTTTGTTGTAGCTTGTTACAATGGGAAATAGCAGTACGAGTAGAGAAAGCAATATTTTTGCATATTGACTTACGAGTAAATATCTAATGTTTTCCAAATTAAAACAACCAAGTAATTAAAAATCTTCGCTTCACTAAACAATTTCTCAGAGATTTCTTCGCTAACAGAAACGTGTGAGATATTTATTTACTACTTATCTGTTGAATTTAGCCACTAAACATGTATTGGCAAAATCTGACCTTGACAAGTGTCCAGTTTACAACGCTGTTTAGAATGAGTTTCCTTCTAGGTAGATAGGAACAGTACCCGGAGAAGCACTATGAGGTTTGGGGACCGTCAATGAAGCTGTAATTTAGCATTTTGTATTCCAAATATTCGGGATCTACTCATACTCATACCCACTACATCAGCCGCTTATCTACTCTCGGCAACACGTGAGAGTAGAACTAGAGATGTGAACGTTAGGCTTAGGCTATAAATACCTCTAGTTCTCACACTTGTATTTTCATTTTGATGTGAACGTTAGAATTAAACGATAAATACCTGTAGTTCTCACACTTGTATTTTCATTTTGATTCGGCTCTATTTATTATTATAAAGTACTGCATTTCGCTCTTACTTTACATCATTGTAGCTCATAAACAATCTCATTAGAATTATTCTTTACTTTGCTTACTTGCTTTTAATCGTATTATATCATAGTTTATTACTTATTTAGTTTAGCCAAACAAGTTATTCTACTAAGTTCTGATTTGAACCGATTATTAGTGACCTCAAAAACCATAATTTTTTTTTTAATTCTGAAATTATTTTTGGGTTAAACAAAATAAGGAATGGAATATTTCGTTCCTTCCAATCCCCATGCCTACTTTATTTTCATCAAAACTAGTGAAATCTACAATTCCACTGTCAAGCAACAAAAATGACTCACATATATAAATTAATGCTTTGTCACCCACAAAAAATTAAAAAGAAAAAACAACTAAACACTTCTCTTTTATATCCAACACTCCAATCTCTGAATTATTAAAGAAATAAAAACAATAGGAGACACAAAGAAAATCCAAATAAAAATAACCAGAAGATAGAGAAAGAAGTTTTCGCAGTAATTCTACTTCTTAATTTACCCTAAGGTGAAATAATAAATTCTCCAAAAGCCATGGTCAGGATGAGAGAAACGGTTGACAAAAGGACAACTGATGGAGTAAATGCCTTTACTGCTAATGAATTTGGGTTGGATGGTGCACCAGCTGGCGAATTAATATCCGCCGGAGTGCCGCCGGCGCCGCCTCCCGGAGCCATACTTCCCGGTGCTAATGATGAAGTTGGTCCTCCGGCTGGTGCAATACTTTCCGGTGCTAACGATGAAGTTGGTCCTCCGGCTGGTACAATACTTCCCGGCGAAAGAGCAGATGAACCTGGTGCTAATGAGCTTGATGATGGTGAAGGCGATAAATCAGAAGCTCCTCCTGCCGGTGCCGGAGATCCCGTCGGAGTCATAGAAGTTGTTGCCGGCGCCGGTGCTGGAATTGACGGAGATACGTTTGAACCGGCAGGTGTAGGTGATGAGGTTGGTGATTTACCTGGTGAGGCGAATGTAGTATATATTTATATAACTAAAACTTATTTTACGAGCACATATATAAAATTACTAAATTCCCTAACAAATATACTAAATTTAATTCTACATCCACCTCCATTTACCTGCTGGCGGAGATACTACCGGTGCCCCATTGGGTGATGATGTACCGGGCGTGGTTGATCCTTTAGCCGGAGCACCTGCCGGAGTGGTGGCAGAAGGTGCTGAAGTTGTGGGTGGTGGGGTAGTAGAACCTGCATAGTAGTATACACGCGAAAAATTATTAAAATTTCAATAATTTAAAAAAACAATGCCAAAAACGTAAAAAAAGCCAAAAAACCTAACAATTAAACCTATCAAATTTAAATTCTGAACCTGCTTACCTGCAGAAGGAGATGGTGGTGCCCCCATAGGTGATGGTGTACTAGGTGTAGATGATCCTTTAGGCGAACCAGCCGCCGGAGGGGTGGTGGAACCCCCAGAAGGAGTTGGAGGGGTGGCGGAACCCCCGGAAGGAGACGGAGGGGTGGCAGAACCGCCGGAAGGAGACGGAGGGGTGGCGGAACCGCCGGAAGGAGCTGGAGTTGTGGGTGTAGCAGGGGTAGTAGGAGTTTTACCTCTAGGAGATATTACAACAATTTGCACCTTTTGTCCTTTCTCGCAATTATCTTTGTTGCCACTAATGAAGTAGAAAGGACCAGGGTGATCCAACATGAAAATGGAGTTGCCATCTTCCATCTTCTTGATTGGACTTTGTGTGTTGCATTTGTCATAGTCATCTTTGCTTACCTCCAACACAGAGTCTGATCCTTGCTTATACTTGAACACTATTACAATCACACAACAAACAAGAAAATTAAGAACTATCAAATGTTGTAACATATAGTAACTTACTAACACATATTAGGAGTACAATTTTTAGAAGACAATTTTGATAATGGAAAAAATATTTTTAGTGTGTAAGTATGCGAGTTTGTGTTTTTCTACGCATATAAATTGAAGACAGGGGCGGAACGATGATTAATTACAACAAATAGTTGGCAACCCATAACTTTAAAAATATAATTGATTCAACCTAAAAACCTTAAAGAATGAACCAAGCGTCTCATCTCATTTGGAAGGAAGGAGAAGACTTACAAGCAGTGTCACCAACTTGGAATCTCATATGTTGAGACCATTCATTGAAACTTTGAGAAGGGTTAGGAACCCAACCATCTTTACCACCAACTGTGAATTGATAAGAGTGCGAAGATCCAATCAAACAAGCCAAGAGCAGAAGCAACACTGAAAAATGTCTCTGCAAAGCCATGGCCATTTTCCTCTCTCTATTTCAATGGAGCTATACAAAAGTAGGAGACTTTGTAAGCACAAATGTATAAATACAAAAAAGAGAGATCACGAGCACACGAGAAAGGAAAGAGGGGGCAAATGGGAAAGGAAAGCTTTCACGAGAAATATAGAAATGCAAAAAGGGGGAACAAGGATATGGACAAGCAACTAAAAAATCAGTAAAGAGGAAAGTTTGGTAGCTGAAGGAAAGATTATAGGCTGACAACAAAGTTTATATAGACTGACCAGCACTTAAAGAGAGTTAAAAGAGGACCTAGCGGTTGAGGTTACCGTTGCAAAGAGTTAATACACCCTCCTAAATAAAATTGTAATAAATTTGTGTTAAAATATTTAAATAAATACTCTTAGTATAATTTAATATGTTTAAGTAAAACATATTTTAATTTTTTTTTAATGTTCGACGTTCGAGGGTCTATCAGAAACAGTCTCTCTACCTTCGAGTTAAGCATAAGATCTGCGTACACACTACCTTTATCACACGTCATTTCTAGGATTATACTGTTTTTTTGTTGTTGTTATAGTGTTCTATGTTCGTATTAGGGTTTCGATTAATTAGGATTCGTATCATGTAGGTTTATTAAAGATGATAATGTTCTTTATCACTAATCGAGTTAGAGATCTTAAGGATGAAAATCTTATTCGTTCCTCACAACTGTCTTTGACAAAACATTATAAATTTTAAAAATACATGTGAAGTGAAGATAATATAAAAGCAATTTCGGAAAATGTGAGGAGTGAGGACCAATAAGGGTAGGCAAAAATAATATCAGTACCTGTGTGCCAATTGCAATGCACCCGAGTAAAATGGAAGGGTATGTTTGAAATCTCATGGATAGAATATTACGCGTGGAGAAAAGTTGTCCACATATCAACCGTATGGGATAAGCCGTATTTAATTAGGAATTTATTTTCATCAACTATCAAAAAGGGTAAATTTTAATTAGTAGTATTATTTTATTATAGTTATAAATACTTTTTTTAAATTTTTTATAATTTATCCATATTAATTGACATTTAACGAATGTGATTATGTCAAAGACTCATTGCTAGCTATCTAGCTTGTACTATATCGCCGACGCGGATTGCTGTATTGCTGTGATACTAGCCCTATTGGTCCTAATGTCTTGTTCCATTCTACTACAGATAATAATGTAGTTGACATCCTCACTCGTATTCCCCACGTTATCCTCTTTGAGCCACGAAACTATTTTGGGGAAAAAAGTTATGTAATTAAAATTCAAAATAATTAATAAGCTGTAAACCTTGTCAAACTCACCCTTTATTTCTTATAATATAATAAGTTGTTGCATTTTATAGGGATGTGTTTAGACAGTTTGGAATGGATTATGGAAAGTTTGGTTTGAGTTTTTCGAATTAAGAAATTAAAATTTAAATCCAAACTAAATCTGTCCGGATTGGTTAGATTTTGAAAGTTCGATATCATATTAATCGATTTAATTATTTTGTATTTTCAATTTGAGCTTATAAGTAAGACTTCTTCTTCTTATCCAATAAAACCTTCCAATAAGTATTCATATAAAAATGTCTTAATAATTTCTCATTCCCATTACAATCACCTTCGGCAATTGTAAGTACAAATGCAAACAATTGATACAAGTAACTGTTTACCCTTAAAAATGGATAACAATTGAATTTATACATAGTTTTAAGGATATGTGAAGTAATTCAATACAAGTGATTAATAACGTTAGATGAGAAAATTAAAGAAAAAATAAACAGCCAAACTACTAATAGTATTGAATTCAGGCTCGATTATGAGCTTAACAATTAAGCTGCCTTCGGTTCGCAACCAAACACTTATGATGAGCTATGAGCAAAATTAAGGACTTTGAATCACTTTTAGGAGCAAACAAAATAAATGTATATTGCCTTGATACGCATGTTACAATGTCCCTATTGAATAATAAGTCTCCTTTATATAGTAGGGGAGTTTTACCCTAAATACAATTCTAAGAAAGGTAAAAATCTTCTTTTTTGCTAATCACTGATCTGCTGCCGATACGGGCCGAGATTCACGCTGTGATATCCGATTGGGCACGGATATCACGACCATTTGTTAGTCGTGCGCAGTCGTTTGGTAATGCTTTCTGAGGTCTTGGAACTCGAACCGGATCCGGGGGGCGTGATCTCGATGGCTCCGAGGGTAGGTGTTTTGTTTGGGCCTTGATACGAGAGGCTCCTGGCTTCAATTCCGATTCCTTGTAATTACGTCTTTTCTTCGTTTTCCCCATCGGAAAATTTGGGGGCTCATTAGTCTCGGTTTTACCCGTATACAGATAGTCTCCTCGTTTCTCAAAGAGTAAGTTTGCCGAAACGATAGATGTTCTCCGGTTCCTTCTTTCGTATGTTACAACCGAGACGAAACGACGAAGAAGTCGAAATGTCCCATTAGTCGCGTCGTTCTGACTTCGGACACGTGTCAATCATCGGCTGATTGCCTCCGAATGCGAAGCATCGCGTGCTTCCCCTATAAAAGCTTCTATCCCCTGTTCTTTTCCACTTTCCCATCAAGCTTCTACCTTCGAATTCTCTAGCCATCACCAATTTCTTTCAAACCTTAATATCTTCATCCTTGATCTTCAAATTCTCATAGTTGTTCTTAGGTTCTTACCCAGATTTTCTTCGAATCTTATTAGTATGTGGTTCAGCCTTCAAACTTGTTCCTTTAAACCTTTACACTTTTTCTTTAAAATCTTCAAACTTTCTTAGATAGTAATGGCAAAAACTTCCAAGTCAGTCTCTCAGCAGGCTGCCTCTTCATCTTTCCAACCGCCTGTCAGTACTAAGTGGCTGCTCCCGAAATAGTTATTTTTGAGACGGCTACTCCTAAAGTGGCTGCCACCAAGCCGACTGTCGTCGAACCGACTCCCCAGCCCCCCTTGAAAATGTTTATTTCCGGAGGCTGTTCAATTGCGGACGACTTCAAAGGTCGATAAACCCTCATCCAAACAGGACCGGGGTGAAGGAGCATCGAGGTATATATGCTCCGTTACCGTAGACGTCCTTCCTGCGTTCCAAGAGGACTGTAAATGGGAAGGCAAAGACGTAGTAGTCCCCGGGCTTGAGGATGCTATTACTACTCACGTGGAGGGGTATTTAAGTGTTTACACTTACCCCATCACGCTGGGGCCGGTAGACCTAGTTGTTTTGGATTTTTGCAAGAGATACGAGGTGTGCCTTGGGCAAATCCATCCGTCTCTATGGAGAATCGTGATCCTCCTTCGTTATTTCGTGAACAACACTGATCTTGTCGGTTCACCATCGACCACTTGCTTTGTCTATACAGTCCCCGAATTTTCTAAGGGGGACTAATCAAGCTCACTCACCGGGCCAGCAAGGCCCCTTCTCGAGTATTGACGAAGATCGAGACCGGGGCTCGCAGGGGCGCTTTATTCAGGTGAAGACTGAAGATCTAATCCTTCCCGAGTTTATGCCATTCCTCGAGAAGTGGAATGAATCTCGTAGTGTAGCCCTTTCTTAAATATTGATTTTTCCTCATTTTCTTTCTCATCATTCGTGTTTGTGGTTGTGCAACTGTTGCCCGGGTTCCAAATGTGGTCCCCCGGCTTAAGGAGTGGATCGAAGGCATCTGCAAATAGATGTTATACTTCGAGCACTCATGGCGCAAGCTTTTGAAGGGCCGATGGGAGGCCCGTTCTCATGGTAAGGTTCTCCTTCGAATAGCTATTATTGTGTCCTTACCTCATATCATACTAACATTTCTTCTTTCTTTTATAGGTTTTCCTAATACCACCGAGCTTATGCCTTTGGAAGGGGACAATGACATTTCATTGTCCATTGATCCCTCTATTATGGGACATCCCAGGGATGCCGCAGGGAAAAAGAAAAAGAGGAAAAGAAAACCTTCGGGTTCCCTGAGTCCCAAGGTGAAACCAAATAAGAGGGTGGCTCGCAAACCCAAGAAGAGCACCAGCTCCCGGGTGCCAGACTCCGATTCGCTTCTTCGACTTAGGGATGAGTCGGAAGAAGATAATTTTTATCGCCCATAGATCGACACTTCCCGGGGAGCAAGCGACAGTCGAGGGGGAAACTCATGAGGCCGACCTCCCTCACACTCGAGAGGCCGATATGAAAATGGGGGTGGGACCCCCCTGTTACACCCTATATTTTCGTACGTGAGAGTATATCATAAATCAATAGATATAAACTCAGAAATGAGATCGTCTTTGAAAGTACACAAAGTAAGTTAATCATGTTACCTTGGAGGTTACAAATCTTTAGGATCATGTATAACAACTACCAATAGGGTTGAAAGTCTTAGAAGCTAAGCAAATTGAAGAAAATAAGTTTCGTCGAATGTCGACAAGTTGGGAATGTTATAACATGTACTTTTGGGGTGATACTAGTGTTCTTAACATGATAAGGAGGTTATGTTATGAGCTATTTTATTCGTATGATAGTCGTGTGTTATATTTTGAAGTCAAGCGAGTTTTGGAACAAAAGTTGGCAAAGGTAATCACAAGTTACATTCATAATGTGCTGAATATTATTTCAAATGTAGCATAGCTTTTCTTCTAATATACTTGGAATTACATGATGATCCACATATAAAATTTAAGATCTACGAGTCTAGTTTCTAACACATTAAATCGTTCATCGATATTAAATCGGAGTAGAGGCATATTTGCAGTTTCGCGAAAGTGTGCAGACTGCATAAGTGACAAGTTGGTGGGTCACTAAAGCTTTTTGAGCAATACCTTTCATGTGTTATATGAAGTCTTTTTGGGACATATTATATACCAAATTGAAGGTCTTGGAATTTAGTTTCCAACTCTTTTATCCGTTTGTTCATGCGACATACGAATAAAAAGATATAAGCGTTGGAAGAAGGGCCAATGCTAGGGTGCCAAGTAGCACCTTTTTTACTTTTCAACAAAATGGATATTTATATCCCTTATGTCATCTCTTTCTTCATTGTTCCAGAAACCACGACCAAATAAGACTCATAAATGTACCCTTAATCTCTCTACAAGGGTTTTCAAAGAAGATTAACATCCTGGGTACGAAATCAAGAAACAATAACATTAGAATGATCCCTACGACGTAAGTATCGCTATATCGCCTCTTATTTTCTTTGTAGGTTGAGTTTTGGAAGGTATTTAATAGTTAGAAAAATGCCTACTTTCTGTATTTAAGATTTTAAATATCAAGTAAGTTTG